TTATTAAAGAAATTTGTTTTTCAGACAAGTTTTGTCAGATGTTTTTGTTTTTTGTTTGTTTTTGGGGTTTTTTTTGGACTCATTACTAATGAAATAATTTCATATAGACATAAGTTGTGGTTTAACTTTATAATATCAAAGTTTAAAGTATATTAGCCTGCCATTGTCAAATTGATTCAGGTATACGCATTTATAATTAAAGCATTTACCTTTATACATGTGTTATCTTTTATCTAGAAAAGCTCGTTGGATTGAAATAAATGCATGACATATTATTTATTTCTCAGAATTCATTCTTGAGTTTATGATCTCTGCACTGGAATAAACTAGTTGAGTGTATCATTCATTCATTACTTTATTTTACTAACAGCCATACCCAGTTGGTCGAGTAGAAAAGGCATTCACTTAAAATGAAGCAAAAACAGCATCCTGTTTAGATCTAACAGAGTCTATCTTCTTCAATTACTTTAAAGTACTTTCATTTGAAAAAACATTTTGAATTAATGCAGTTACTGATATAACAGAAGTAGTCTGTATTCAATCAAAATTAGCCGAGGACATGAAGGGGTAAAACATGAAGTCCCACTTCAGACTACAGTTATTTTGGTGTTTTTGAAATTCAATTTGTCACTGTCCTACCAGGGATGTAAAAGAAGATACATTTATAAAGCAATTAAGTTTAATGAAAACTGGTTGAAAGATCAACGAAAAATAAGAAAGAAATCAATAAAAATTGCCATTTTTCACTATTTACGCTGGTTTTCACAATATGGGTGGACTCAATTATCAAGTTAAATGATTGTTAAACAATCAACTCATTGTTGGCTACAATTGAGTGTAGTTTGTATTAGTTTGCTTGAAAATTGAGGGAGTTTTTAGTTTAAAATTTGTGTTGAAATTGATTTTTCACAGTTTTTCACTAAATGCAGTGGTGTAGAAATAAAAATGAGGTATCATTGAGCTTGTCATGATGTAAGTAACCTACATACCGAGTTTGAACAAAATCTGAAGAAAAATGTTGAATTTATCGTTTTTGATCAGCTTTATCGATTATTGATTTTTTAAAAATTATGGAGTTTTTATAATAAAACTTATCTCTTACATTGTACAATGTATGTGCCAAGTTTGGTCAAAATCAGTTGGATGGATCTCAAGTTAAAAGGTGTCACACAGACATCCACTGTTTTATATATATATATATATATATATATATATATATATATATATATAGAGAGAGAGAGAGAGAGATGGCTAACAGATGTTAATATATAAAGTATGCCAAAAATTTTTTTGAGTCTTTCAAGGCATTTATAAAACCTGAAATTGTGATTTCATAGTCAGCACATTTAGCTCTGGTTCTCAGATAATAAATTAATTTTCAACCTCAGCATACTGCACATAAGTCAGATCTGTAGTGTGTACACACTTTGTGATGATTTGCAATACATTGGTGATAAATCTCCAGTTTCCATAGTCATCCTACAATTATTCTTAATTTTGTTACAGAATGCAGCATTGAAAAAAGGAAAAGACTATAATGTTTAATGCTGTCATAATTGCAACAACTGATTTTTGTTTTTGTTAAGCCAAGATTTTTCTAAACTATCATAAAGTTGTTTTAAACAGATTAAAAATAGTCCAATAACTTTCTTTAAATATCTTGTAATTAATATTAATTTCAATTTTGAAAAAGTTTGTACTATTTGTTACAATCTATTAAACTTCAGTTAATTTGCAGTAATTTTCAAAATCATGTATTTTCAAATAAGTACACTATGAAAATGTGTTAAAAATAAAAGGAAAGAATTTCCATTTTCCTCAAAAATCAAGTTTTTTAAATTACTAGAAGTAATCTTTTTTCATTTTTTTAATAAAATAATAATGATTCTCAAGACAGAACAAATGTAGAAGAAAAACCATATTTTTAGTATAAACAATACAGAACTGTTTACTTGGGTGGAATAATATGAAGAAAAAAAAGGCATAATTTCATTTTATCCATTTCATAAAGGAATATGTGGCACCTTGCATTATTAGAAATATTCATAGAAATATGATTTAATTTTTTCTTACTCGGTTACTAAACAGGTTGTTGATTTTTTTTAAAACGGAAAATAACTGAGTTGAAAATAACTCACTAAGATTGTACTAGACGATCTTAAGGAAGAAGAAGAAGAAAAGAAAAAAAAAAAGAAAAGAAGGAAGAGAAAAAGAGTTGTATGATGCATGACCCAATTGAGGGTGGAGATAGGAGTCAGAAAGAGATTTAGGTCAGCGTCTTGGCCGATTTTCGAAAGACAATTGGAATAGTAGAATTAGAAATAATAAAAAGAAAAAAGGGAAAAGACATGATATCAAAAGCGGGCCGCTGATGTAGACCAGATATCGTCAAAGCATCTGACCGACTTTTTGCGTGGAGAGACTCCTTATCAATTTGGTTTAGAACAATAGAAATGAAATTTTTAATCAGAGAAAAAGTGTCTTTGGGTTGAGGGGTGACCAGTGGGCGATATACAGATATCCTGTTAAGAATTGGACACCCACGTTAATAAAGTGGAGACATTTTCAAAGTGGATAATTAAGATTTTCGACTATCAGGAAAAACAAAGAGGTAAAAAGAGGGACAGTTGCTTTTGGCTCACGGAGGGCGCCAAGAAGGCGGAAAAGATCCTTTCTAAAGTCAAGACTAATTAGCGGCGGGCTGTTTGACAAAAGTCCAGGTGAGAGAAGGCCAAGATGGTCAAATTTTCGTGACGCGAAAAAAAAAGGAAAAATTAGATTTTGTTTTTTTTAAACAAGAACGATGTAACCACGCCCGCAACAAGAGGAGAAAGGATGTTCGATCAATAACAATTGGTCGGAGACGGTCACGTGATCTGCGGAAGAGAAGGGAAAGAAATGCCCGATCAGGAACCATTGGTTAAAGCGGTCACCTGACATACGAGAGACTAAGAGAGATGGATGTGCGCCGCCCCACCAAAGGTACTATGAGGAAGTAGGGGTGAAAACAATAGCGATAATGGAGAAGACAGAATTAATGCAGCTTTTGGAATTATCGAGAAAACCCTGACGCCGACAGACCCACCCCAGTTTGTTGCGGCGTCAATATAAGCAGGACCCCAGTCGGCAGAAATCAGTTGGAGTTGAGAGTTGGACCGCGGGCAGGGATAGAGCCTGAACGCGGCCATCAGGCCCGATTCACTCGCCCTTTTTGCGGGCAGAAGAATCCTCAGACAAGAAATCCTTCCAGCCCAAGTCAAGACAGGAGAACTTCCAGCCCAAGTGAGCGAAGAAGAAGATTGCCTGAAAGCCTGAGAAGAATTGGAGCTGCAGACAAGCGAAAGTCGATGAGAAGTTAAAGTTCAGCTCCGGACGGCAGTGAGAAGAGACCACCTCAGGCGACAGAGAGTTGCGGCTAAGTTGAAACAAGAAATCTTCCACCAAGTTGAAACAGGAAAACTACCAGCCCAAGCAGGCGAAGAAGAAGAAATACAACTCAAGTCGGAGAGAAGAATCAACTGCGAATGATCGATAGAAATTAGCCCCAGTGTCGAACTGAACCACACTCCGACATACATACATGATTCTAGAAAGTAGGTAATTCGACATTTTTTCTATTGTGTGATAGAAGCTTGGTGCCATAGTCCACAGAGCGGGTCGGGAAATGAGAACACTTTTGTTTTTTATGTAACGGACTTTAAGATATAAAGGTTGTTACCCTTTTTATCAGCAATTTTGTTTGGTGTCGTGAGTTTTTTTATTTTATTTGTGTTTTGCCACCCCGTCGGACTCAACTTGTATCGGCCCGATCCCTGCTGGTCCCGTCTGTCTAAGATCTAAACACAGCGTGGGTAGACAGACCGGAGATCGGTATAGTTGCTTTAGTGACCAGGTATTGGAAGTAGTCGGGAAAGGCGAGGCTGGTGATCATCTGACCAAAGGGTTGGAGCGCACGCTTGGACCCAGGAGGAGCGACCAGGAGGAGCGGCGTCACCGTTAGCGCCGTAACAAAGGATCCGACCCTGGGCCAGGTGTGTAACCGTCACAAATAACAAATTGACCCATTGTGATTTTTATGGGAATTTTGTTGACAAGATACTGCTGTTGCAAACAAAACCTGATTGAATTTTTACAGTTAAATAAGAGATGATGTTGCAGATCCTGTGGAAAATTTGTTTGATCAATTGCTCGGTAGACTCAGGTGTTTTTACAGTTAAATGAGTAAAAACAAAACAAAAAATTAATAAAAGGGGCAAATAATATGAGCCTGATAAGTTGAGACATCTCTCCAAATCTTCATGCTAAAAAAGAAGACAAATTGTAGAAAAGTCTTTTACTGTGGAACCTCTCACCTTACATACTAACAGTTTAAGAATTCTTTTTAAGTCTCTTGAGCAATTTTCTTAAAATCACCCTGCTTTCAGATATAGTTCTTCTTGACTAAGCTGAAATGTGCATTAAAGATTCTTTACTGTTAGATACTGTAATAAAGTGAAAAACAGGCAAGTAAAAACCATCAAAATAAGCTGCATTGAGACCACCATTATGACACTTAAATGATTTAAAAACCAAAGACATTTCTACTTTGTAAAAACTAATCTACAAAAGAACATATTGAATTTTTGTTGGTCTTACAGCCGATAGAATTTTTTTTATGACAGAGAAAGAAATATTGTTTTGACTTGAGATAATCTGTCAGCTTATGATTCAAAGAACTGAAAAACATTTCAGAAATTATAAAATTATCATAAAAAGCAGTAATGAATTAAGTGCTTTTCCAAATAATTCTATGTATCTGTGTGTGTATAGCAACCATGATTCCCTTGACAAACAAGGAAAACAAAACCAAAGGAACTGAAATTTTAACATTGATAATTGGTTCAAGTTAGACTTTGAAAAAAAAAAAAAAACAATTAGCAAAGATACTGTGAGACTTCCATCAATAGAATTGCCTAATTCTTTACTAGACTTTGTAATATTTTTTTAATTTTTCTTTTCAGGCTACGGTTTTGTTGATTTTGAAACTCCACAGGCTGCAGAGTATGCTGTACAAGAATTGCAAGCGTGTGGCTATCAGGCACAAATGGCAAAGGTGGGTTTTTTTTATATTGTTTCAGCCTTGATATTTTTCTTTTTTCCTCCAATTAAAATAATTTTCTTGTACACTGACACCATGCCTATCAGACTTGTTTTCTTTATTTACAAATTTTTGGTCTCAGGCTGTTTTATTTTATTTTATTTTTTTGTTTGTTTTTTTTACCTATCTATTTTTGCACATAACCTGATGGAAATATTCTTATAATCTATATCCATATTACTACTCATGTTGATGGAGTAGTAACAATGATGACGATGATGTCATTAGTAATTTTTCTCTTTCTCACACTATTTCTATAGCCTATGAACATATCTACTCTTTTTGTCATTACATGAATCTAAAAGCCTTAGATAAGTACAAAAGCAATTGCTGTAAGGACATATCTTCTGACCCCTTTCAGTTACTGCCTTATGATGTTGACTCAGCCTTGGAAGATAAAAGGAAACTTGTTTTCAGTGCATGGAAACAACCTAGTATGACTTGCAAGACTATTAGTATGAAGAACAGACTTTGAAATGTCTTCAGAATTTAAATATTCATCCAGATTTCTATGGGAATACTTAAAACATTTCCTTCAAAAGCAGTGTTAATTTTTCTTTAATTATTCAAATTATACAAATTTACTTCTATTTTCTCTTAAGATTTGATACACTTGCATCTTTAATATTACATTCAATGTTCCTCCGAGTTAACAAAAGCTGAATGTTTCTGTCTGTCATGTTTCTGACAAAGATTTCATACTTTAAAGCTCTGTGAATATTTACAAGGATTATTAAGATGAGTATCTATATTTCATTACAAAAAAAAAGAGGAGTACTGAACTGCTATGACATGTCAGTCCTCCTATATGACAGTGAATGCTGGACAATTTCCTTACAGATGAAAAAAAGACTACAGATGGACAATGAGAATACCATTGACTGAACATGTGAACAAAGAGGAAGTTTAAAAGAAAACAAGAACTCAAAGGACACTTAAAATCAGAAAGAAACAATTGAAATTTCTTGGACATATAATGAATGAGGGCTTATAGAATTTGATACTCACAGGGCGTGTTGAAGAGGGGGGAGGCAAAAGAAAATAGCAAGTAGCTTACTTAACAAGTTTTCATGAATGTATGGTAGAGCAGGGACAAAGAGGCTAATTATGCTGAATTGTCAGTAATCTCAAAATCTTTGCTTTAGATTTTAGCATGATGTCCCATTTTCTTTTCTGATAATTAAACTACAGTAATGAATTTTTGTTGATAATTATCCTAAACTTTTATGAAGTAATTTATTTTCTGTAACTCAAATCATAATGTATTTTCTAGCTGGCTATATCTCTGAGATGAGGTATTATGATTATTTACATTATTCAGACTGTTATTCTCATCTTCATTGCTATATTCACAATGTTTCAGCTATTGTATGCTCTGGCCTTCTTCAGGTGATTGGAATTTCAAACCCTGGTGGACGAAATAAAGAGTTTGGTTTGAAATTCCAATCACCTGAAGAAGGCTGGAGCGTACAACGACCGAAACCTTGTGAATGTGTCAAAGAAGATGAGGATAACAATCCAAATAATGTAAATGTATTTTCTAATTGCTATCTTTAAAAGTCAGTCTCTTGATAGGCAATAAAGACAAAAATCAGTTTTTATTTGTATCTATTTTAATGCAAATTCTTTTGCAATTACAGTTATTCATTGTGTATGTTTAGTCAGCTTTTGGTGTAATTTAGATACTTTAATAATATATTAGTTAATTTACTCAAATCTTTTTGATATCATGTATAATAAACAAAGACTGTATTCAGTCCTAAATTTAGATTCTAATAACAGTCCAAGAGACTGAAATCAAATATGAAGTCACTTCATATTTTACTATGCTTCATAATTTAAAGAAAATTAACTTTGCTGCATTTGCATTTCTTCTTGTGTAGAGCAATTGACTTGCAGATTTTACATGCATGTTACTAAGTGTGAAAAAATTGTCCCAAATCAAAAATTAAAAAAAAACATTCATTCAACAAAAATAACTCAATCTTCTCTCTCTCTCTCTCTATATATATATATATATATATATATATATATATAAAACAATGAATCATTCATACAAAAAGTAAATTAGTAAAGTTAATGATATAAAATGGCGAAATCCCTTCGCTAACAAAATTTTAAAGATGCATTAACCTAATATTCACTCGATGAATGTTATGATACTTGTTTTTAAAATTATAAGCTGTATAAGGTCTTTCTTAAATAATTTTATATCATTAACTTTACTAATTTACTTTTTGTATGAATGATTCATTGCAGTATAAATTGAACTGCACCACATATTTGATATATATATATATATATATATATATATACACACACACACACACAATATAAAAAATACCCTTAATTGAAGAGTCATGTAAATTATCTCAGAAAATCAACAAGTTTGTTCTTGGTTTGCATGTACCTTCTTGACTTTTTTGAGATTAACTTATGACTTTTCTTATGATAAGTCAAGTGTCATGTGGCTGCCTTCTCAGGCTCAGAATGTTATTACCTGTTCAGTGCCAAACAAAATTTCGCCCTGTTCTATAGTATAGTGTAAAAATAGGTTTTAATACCAGAAATACCTTTGTTAAAAAAAAAAAAAATGTTTGCCAGCAGTACATTTTTGAAAAAAAAAAAAATTACCAGCAAAACATTTTTGAAAAAAAAAAATATTACTAGTTATACATTTTTGGAAAAAAAAATATTAACAGCAATAAAAATTTTGTTGGCATTAAATAATTCATTGAGGTTGATATGCCATAAAACAAACCAAACCAAACTGAATTGTTTCCCCTTCGCTTACTTAACTATATTAAGCATAGATGTCAATTTGATTCTGTGGCTCAGTATGGTGTAAGAGAATTTTTCTCAGTAGCATTTTGTAGGCAAGACTGGAGACTTATTCTTTCTTTTCAGTAAATGATTTAGTAATAGGTGCAGAAATTAAAATTGAGCACTTTTCATTTTACTGGCCCAGTTTACAGAAATGCTGATTGGAATAAGTGCTCTCTCTCATTTTCAAGTATATTAAAGATGGTCACTGGCGGGGTGAACTGGTTTGTGCTGGAAAAATACTAATTGTATAAATGCAAAACTATTGTATGAAAAAAATAAATTAATTCTACTTGACAAAACTGATCTCAGGCTGATTATTTTTGCTTCGTTATATGTTCATAATATTGATATTTGATAATCCTCAAAAATAAACACACTAATGACTCTTCATCTTTTCCAATCTCTTGAATGTGCAAATGGATAACACTTTTTGCTATATATTTCTAATTCCTAAAGTTAACTGAAAATGCTAAATGACCCCAAGAGGTGTTGCTGTTCTAAAATCATACATGAATTCGCATTGTTTCATCTTTTGATCTTTTACAGTGACTGTTTGGAAAGTAGTTATCTTAAAACTTACCAATGAGAAGCTCATCTTCATTTAGAGATAAAACATTATCAGCTATAAACAGTAACTAATAAAAAACAGAAATATATGTCCAAATCAAATTTATAATCATAAAAGCTCATGTGTTTTCCACTTTTCAGCTGAGTAAAGTATTTAACTGCCAGGAATGCTTGGCATATCTAGACTTCTTACTGAAAATTATTGATTAAACTTTTCACTTCCTTTTGTCAGTGAAATTGGTCAAGATTGAATTGAAAATAAAATTAATATCAGTTAACAGGTTCAGAAGTATAGCATGAGCAGTTGGGCCAACCTGCATCTAGATGAAAGCCTTGTTAGCTTGACTAAATTTCACTTTGCACAGTTGGAAAGACTGGGAATTGTAGGTAATTTGTAAAAGTGGTTGATTATTTATTTATTTTGTATAACTGCTTACATTTGAAATCAAATCCTTTTTTTCTTTTTCTTTTTTTGTTTTATTTTCATGGAGCAGTTTGTAGTTATAAATCCAAGAGCAACAATTATACTATTTCTTGAGAAAAATATACATGTAAAATATAAAATTATCCTTGCTTTCTCTCTCTAATACTGTGTGTGTGTGTGTGATTATAATAAACTAAATTCTGACTGAATAAATTTATATACTTTTCTATAAGTTCTGAGTTCATAGATTCTGTATGCAGGGAGTTGTAGATATAATGTTCAGTCCCAAAATGTACCAAGTTGTATGCAAAATACTTGAACATTTATTGATTTCTTTTCTCTTTCTCTAATTATAAATGAAATGAATTTGGTTTGTTGTGGTTATTTGTTAAACTGTCTGTTGTTCTATTTTCAAACATTGTTGTGCAGCTGACTAGAAAGTTACTACTCATGTAGAGGAAAGGTTTAACATCTAATATTTTGCTGGCAAAGGTTATTTCTAAATACTTAAGCTTCTTAGACAAAATAAATCACAAGCTTAGATAACAGACTCTGTATGATTACAATGTCATCCTTTCTGATTTCAGACAAAGATGTTGGGGGATTCTATCTTTTTTTCTTTCTTTTTTTTTTTTTACTCAAAGGCATGCAACCAGATATAACTAATAGTTAACTGTTTCTCCTGTAAACATGTTTGTGAGGTGATCCTTCTGGAATAATGACTAAATTCCAAGTCTTTTTAATGACAAATTCTTTTCTGTTTTATATAAACTCATGAAAGATTGTAATCAAACATGTATAAATAGACATTTTATCTTCAAAATTTCTCTGAGGACAATTGCACAAAAGGATGTGATCCAGACTATTTTCTTGAACATTGTCCCAATATAACAAATGCATTTGTCACTGTCAAAAAGAAATTGAACCTATTATTGATTTTCTACAGCAGATTAACATGACTAAAAAACATTTTGATGTCTTATGATTCTGCTTTAAATCAGTTTGTGTTTGTTTATCTTACAACAATGTAAAAAATGCTTGTGACTTTTGACCCATTGAAGTAGTGAAAAAATTCAGTTTCTACCTTCATTTTCTTTTTTTTCTTTTTTTTTTTCCCCCTCATATAATTTATTTTCAC